TATGATCCCCCCCTATCACGGAACAATGAACGAGCACCTAACTGAAAAGAAATCAAACATACTCGAAATATAAATGCAATGCAAATTTTTCACGCAAGAGTTTGATCAGTTCTTGGCTTGCTGATAAACAAATCTGTTTAACTTGATGCACTACATCAGAAACCTAAAAATACACATTGATTCAACTGAGAAGCCCTTCACCTCCACCTAATGTGCCTGCAGGGAAGGTATGTGTCGTCGAGATCAGGTGCACTCGGCTCATATCGCGCACCCAAGAAGCTTATTAACAAGGCATTTGTAGTCCTCGTCAATATTTACCGCCCATAGTCCAGTTTTATCGATATGCAATTCAGAAACTCTGTGACGAACATCTAATTTCTGGTCCAGAAAGGCGCAGATGTAGACTTCTGTCTCTCAAATCTGCCGACAATTAGCATTACCTCAAAACGCTGACTGTGGACTCACTTTCTTATTTCGTGTTAAGTAATTTCGTGAGTGCTGTTCGCGAAGAGAATTATTTCACTGACAGACAGAAAGACAACGAGCAATTCATCATTCAAATTCAGACCACTTCCGATCATTCAAAGCAGCATAGCCCGAACAGCCTTCCCAGAATATAAAACACCCCTCACATCCCGAAAAAGAAAACATTCACGGAGACTACTGGCGACTTTACTGCACTTGACCATAACTATTCAGTCTGCTTTTTTAACTCACCAGCAGCATAAACGGCGTCAGCAGGCTGGGTGTACGAGAGGACAGGAAGGGCGGACAAGTGCAGGCTGAAGGCAATCCTCTTTGAAACCGAAAAAAAAAACACACACACAAATAAACATACTTCTATATCCTTCCACATGCTTTTCTGCTGTTCTGCAAGCACTGCGTCATCGTGTGCCGCATTTTTACCTATAAAATGACATGTTTTTGTTGAGACAAAATAAAATTCCGAAAGTATTTTACGGGAATACGCTACGAAAAAAAAACAACAAAGAACACGCTCAAAATGAAAATAACAAAGAGGGAGCTGCAGACATAACGGCAGGCCTGTTACAGACTAGCGGACAAAATCTGTTGAGCATCCTACTTAAAAAGAGTGCAGAAATAACAACTAAGAATATCAAGAACACCAAAACTGCTCGGACCGCCAGTGCGGGTGCCCCTTAACTGATGTTACTAGGATGCTGCCAAACGCCGAATGCAGCTGTGCTAGGCTTTTCGATTCTAGCAGCAGAAATATCATTTTGACTAATACACAGTACTCTAATCCAACAACTCGCTCCCCACCCCACTCTCCCCTCCCCCCTCCCCCCCACAGCGCCCCGTATTTTTGCATCAACTATTTATCTAGGTATCAGTTGTAAAAGCACTGCTTGCCTGAATCCTACCGTTTTCGCAAATCGGCACAGTATACGAGCTATTCGTGTGACAATGAAAGTACACCTTGAATTTTTCGAACGACTTTCAAATACACGCCACATTTCAGGATATCGTCATAGACAGGCAGCAGCTGTGATGGGCAAAGAGCTTTCACAGCGCAGTATCGTTTATCGAAGCTGCAAATGTGAATTAAAACCAGAGTCCGGTGCTAAAGCGACGGTCACCGTGCTTTGAATGTACATCTGAGCATCTGGATGACACGGCACATATTCTTTTTGCAAAACATTACCATCGAAAATGAGATATGGGAGAGGGTACTGGATCTGCACACTTCCCGAACACTTTTACTATTCAGGCATATCGTAACACTGATTGCAAAGGAGCATCTGACAATTTGGATTTATAAGTTCAAATTCCCCGAACAAGCTCCGTGCCCCTTACCGCTCCCAAATCCAGCATCTCCTCGCCTTCTCCTGCGCCCCACATCAACCATATTGAGCGTCAGTTTTTCGAGAATACAAAAAATGATTTTCCAAAAATTCCGCACGTATAAGATACCACTCAAAATTTATTTCAAAGGCTACATTTAGGAAGGAACATAGACCCATAAAGGGCAAACAGTGAACTGACTGAACTGACTGCTGAAACTGCCCACCCCACAATGCCCGAAAGACTTTTCTTAAGAGATAATATACAGGCCTATTATCACCAGCTGCCTTAGAGGGGGACATATAAGTCAGTGTCAGAGCACAAAAAAGCCTCTACCAGTATCGCGGAACAGCGCAAGCGGCAGTTGTGAGAACATTTGTAAATCGAAAAAGTATACCAACCTGCTCAAAATGTCGTCTTCGTGTGCTTCATCAGTTTCACCCAGTAAACAAGAACGCGAAAATAAACCAGTACGTTTCAGGTCCCAGATCATAAACTAAAATATAACAAAAACGCCCCAAATATGGAAATGGAATTCCACCAAGACAGGACTCTTCCTCTACTGATAAAAGAGATATAGCACCACAGTGAACTTTCACTGCGGGAGGGAGGGGGAGGGGGGGGATTTCTCGTACTCATAGAATTTCGGAGGACACTCAATGTCAGTGTCAATTTCTTCCTCAGAGTTGAAACTCTCATACTTTTAGCAGCAAGAAAATGACCCAAATAATTTCGTTGCACCTTAGCTAAAAAAAAAACGGCGCCTACAATAGTGCTCGTTCAGCCAAGGCCCAAAATATCCTTTAAAACTCATATTTGTGCGGTGACTCAAGATGCAGGCCTACACAAAACCCTCCAAGAAGCTGCACCTCAGAAAACGATCATCAAAACAAACTTCGTGACAAAAATCGTGGACTTCTCCGCAACAAATCCAAGAAATTAAATAATCGATATACCGTAACCACGCAGCATCATGAAGCTGAGCAAGCACTTTGCGTGTTGTCATCGAGGAGCATTTTTGCATTTCGCAGAAGAGTAAAGTCAATATTTCGCCCCCAACGAGGTCTCTCTGCAATTCCAAATAAGTTCTGGTGCAGCATGTGAAGCTTATTTCTTCACTGGATCGCGACGTGCTAACTACTACATTACCAGCCCCTGCGCTCATTATGCTATACAGCTTCACACACATCCTACAGTGTTTGATACTATAAGCAGCTCTACCTGGCTTTCGTAGCTGCTCGCGATATTTGGAACTTCGCTAAACTAACTCAAACAACCAAGCTTACCGCTATCATCATGCAATTTTGCCAGCAAAGTTGTTAACAGTGAGAACGCTCACTGCTTCGCGGTCTGAAAGCTGCATTTTTTTAAAAAATTCCTGCCAGTGTTTTCTTTCACGTTCGAGAAGCCGCCATCAGCTTCGTATTGCAAAGCCTCATAAAAAAAAAAAAACAGCTTTTTAGCATGCCTAATTACTGAAAGAAAATTGTGCTCGTAATTTTGCAAATGAGTGGACGTGTTCGTATGTGAGACGTAGGCGTATTTGACAGCTTACACTGAAATATAGTTTTCTACTCAGACCAGTCCTTTCCGGCAAAATGCCAACAATTTCGCGACTGAAATTTTATGTGCCGCTACGCGCGATGAGATGTACATAAAAGCTAACTTTTCGTTTTTAATGCTGCAAACGAACAGGTAACAAGCTCACAAAATTTCAGCTTTTCGATCTATCTGATTTCGAAAAAGAAGGACGAAAAGAAATTTGCAAAACTGAGCCTCGACGTGTACAGGCATACGCAAAAATGTATTTTAAGCTTACGGACCCGCACGCGGACAGCAGGCTTCCTTGTAAAATCAAACTTTTAATTCACCCTGGTTCCCGAATTTAAGGAATACCGGCAGTGTTCCAAAGCAAAACTTTCACTTGTACATACGAGAGATGTATGCATGCCTCAAAGCTGTAAATGGCACATAAACTAAGAGCATTCTCGCAAAATCTCAGCTCTCGAGTTCGGTTTATTCCAAAAAAGTGCTCGTGCGTGTGAAGGAAGTAAATGTTCATTCTACGGCTGAGAATTCAGCCACGGTGGTACACTAAGTTACCGAAATCCCGGCTTTCGTAGACTTGGGATCTAAATATGCAAAAACACACAGGCATTTTTCCCACATTACGCGTTTTGTATTTCATCTACGACCTTCATCAACGTATTTGAAAACCCAAGTAGGAAAGCCAGGAAGCGAAAAATTTGGAAGTATGTTCCCTGTCAAAGTACGACTACGCAAATTTGAATTCAGCCTCCAGGCAGAGGTAGATTTCACATACGACCACGTGAAAGTTTTGGCGCAAAAACTGCTGACTCGGGAACCCAAAAAACTAGAAAGATGAAAATTTGCGAGGGCACTCCTCGCCGCTGCGTGAATAAAAAACTTTAAATTCTGGCTTCACATACACTCGGTCTCACGTGCGAGCACGTGAATGATTTTAAGGAAAATTTTTCGTCAACTCGGAAGCGAAAAAGGTAGGAAGCTGATATTTTATAAGGATGTTTCCTGTCCATGTGCAGCAACATAAAGACAGCTTCAAAATAAGTATAGATTCATCTTACACACGAGGGTGTACTGGCGTAAAACATGACAAGATGGGAAATTGGAAATTTGGGATGATGCTTCCTGCTAATACGCAATTCCGGAATCTCAAATTCAACCTTCGTACCCGCTTAGATTGCACACACGAATATATGAAACCTTACATTAGAAATTTTTAGTTTAGAGATTCAATAAAATAGCTAAAATTTCCGACGGTGTTTTCTGTTCATGTGTTAAATTCGGTCTGTACATACGCCAAAGTTTCGTACATGTGCATGTGAAATAGTAACCAGATAAAAAATCGACTAGTATTTCTGCACACGCCAAAGTGTAAAGTAATGAAAATTTATAGCAAGCCTTCGCTGGACGGAATTATGCAAGATGTATGAGCACAGCGTCTAGCTTGGTGCGCGTCGCTATTTACGACATCAGTTTCGAGATTTTATGAAGTAAGCTCAGACAATGGTTGGAGGTTTGTTTTCCAAAATGCACTTACCGTTTGTTCTAAACCTTTTACATTTTCAAAATTCCTCTTTCTCTTTTTGACACTTTGCATGTTATTTTGCTGCAACCGTCACACTGACGAGGTCCAGTTGCAGCACTGAACAGGAATGTATGCGACTTAATGGACCGAAACATTCCTATTCAGGTTTTTTAATCCATTTTATCTTATTCACCCTCTTTTTATTCCTTTTTAAACCTTACTTTTTACATAAATACACATCATCTAAAATTAAAATTAAAATTACAATGGAGATACAAATTAGGTACATTAGGATGGCAATGATATGTGTTGCTTGTCCAGCAACAGACAGGCTTATACCACTCTGTTCTACACAGTTGCAATGAAAACAACCTTAATAATCGCCGACAGAACGCTGTTTATGTGTTTCGTGACGAGCACATATGGCCGCATGGTGAGGGCAAATTCTGTTAGCGAATGTGTCTGCTTGCCCGACACGCAGTCGCGCTCCAAATTTATTAGCTTCGGCACAATGTCTGTGTGAAAAAAACCTCCAGCAACACCGGCAACAGCAAGAGCTACGCGACCACGCGATATACCGGCACATATTTCTGGAAACATTACTCTGTTCGAACATTAGTTATGCTTCTGCAGCGGAAAAAATGTTTCTAAAAAAAATTACAAGTCAAAAACAAATGGCACAAATTTTTCGCACCAGTGTAAGTTCCGGTAAGGTGGAAAGTATAATATGTATGGTGAAGCCCAGTAAAACAACAGAGCTCGACAAAATTTTATAGAAAAAGTCCCGGCAGGAGGCAAAAGATGGCAAAAACTCGAAAATAAGCTGGAAGGAGGCAAAAGACGGCAAAACTCGATCTATGGGGCCTTCGAATCAGGGAAGTTACATGATTAGTGCTAATATCGAAGAAGGTGGACAGCGAAGGCGCCTGTACTGCTTCTTGATTCGCTCATACTCACGATTCCAAGTCTCATAATTTACATTTGAAACAAAAGATTTTTTTAAGAAATCGATTTAAAGCTATGCCACAATGCGCTACTGTAGCTTGTTGTGTCTGCTGCACATCAAAAGAGGCAAATCTACGCTACTGGGTCTTATCTTTTCATCCACACCACAGTAACGCCGCTCAATGAAGCATTTATAAATGAAGAGGCCTATAGTTTCACGCGCCTTACAAGCGAACAGCGGATACGAGCTGCTACTGCTGCTGCTGCTACTGCCGCCGCTGCTGCACAACAAACTGCAGTTTGGATATTCCAAAAAACTGAAACGTACTTTCAGCATAGTGACGAAGAAGGATGAGCTCGGTAGCCAGCGGCAGGCATCCGTCGTTGTCCAGCGTATTACGCAGGCCCTCACTGCACCGAGCATTTAGCACCCATTTCACTGTGTCATCTGCTTGCACAAATCGTATGCTGTTTCCCTGGTATCCCTAAAAACAATAAAAGCTTCTTTTTTACTGAAAATTTGAAGCTTTGGAAGATGATTGACCTGAAATACGAAAATTCTTCAAAAGCTTTCCGAGAAAAAAACTCGCGCCTGGTAACTGACAAAATTTATATGCGATGCTGAATGCCCCTCAAAAAAACGGCAAAAAATGCATCTTAAGTAACACTTTCGCGAATTTTGTTAGGAAATTTTGACATGTATTTTTCACTCACAATCCATCCAGCAATGCATACTTTGATACCCTCGCCAGCTGAAATTATGCAGTGCGTCGCGCGCACAGTTCTTTGGCTTTTATGATTTGTTATTACTTGTCCTGACCATACACCTCAAGTGCACTTCTAGCACTGCCAAATGTCTATTACTGTGGTCGGCCCATATGGAAGCAATGCTCGGAACAAAAGCGGCTGAGGGGAGCCCTTTCAGTGTTCTGCGGGCTGTTCTCGCTCTCAACATTCAGCAATCTAGGCGTATCGCTCTTGAACTTCGCCATCTCTCGACCACTGCCACAGAGCTGGCAAAACTCGAAGTGTTTGTGAGAGAGAAAGAGAAGGAGAAGGCGGATTTTTTACTGAACATGTCACAGCAATTTCAAAAAAACAAGCTTACCATGCATACGTGAAGGAGGTCGAGCATCAGGTGCTGCTCCTGCGCAACAGCACTCAGCGGCGAGTGGTCGATCTGAAGCAAGCAAATCACAGTTTTCACAGATAGGCACATTCATTTAAAAGCGTTCATACGCCGACCGGAAACACGAATATGTGCGCTGCCGAGGTGACAGCCGCTCTGGAGATGAGCTGAGCACACGGCAAACCCTCCTCGGCCAACGTCCGGAAGCTGCTTTCCTGGGCCCCAACCAAGCCAAGATATCCCATCCAACCGAACTTACCAGCAACTCAAGAAATATACACCGCTCCAACACAATGCACCGTGCACCTGAGTAAGGGCAACGATAAATTATCCCGGCTTTTATAGAATGCCGTCCCCCCGGCGGCCGCGATGCGGCAGTGACAGAGATATGTGGGAATGACCAGAAAAAAAAACACCTACCGGCTGACTCTGATCGTTCAGCACTGGAGAGGTGCATGCGCCTGGATTGCTGAATGTTGAGAACGAGAACAGTCCGCTCACTGAAAGGGCTCCGCTTGTGAAACGTGCGCACGACGGCAACAGACATAAT